AACTTCTTTCATCAAGGATAGAAGGAAACTCTCCTGGTGCAATGAAACTTGCCCTTCAGAAGGTTCTTAACATCCAGAAGATCAATAACAAGCAACTTCCTAAGGTAGTTAAGAAAAGAAGTGGGCGAACCCAGTGTCCATTTGAAGGTGCTGAACTATGGCTTATGCAGGATGATATTCCCCTGGCTCCCAGAGCTCTCAACACCCCTGGAGATTGCTATTTTGTGGTCTCTTCACGAGCAAGGGTCTGCTCAATATTTTTTTAACAGATAATTGTGTACAGCTCTGACTCCTTCATTGAGATAGGTTGGAAATCCTTCTGCTACAAGGAATTTGTATATTCTGCAGCATGCGCTTAGAGTTTTACCAGTGAGGCATGCATGCAGGCTAACCAATTTTAAATGTATGTGTTCCACAATTACTGGAATCTTCTATAGCAGTATGCCATCTGAGGACATAACTGGCCATGCCAGAATATTACATCTCTCTGCTATAACTTGGGGTAAACTTGGAGATCAGTCACCAGCAAAACTTTTTCATGGAGTGTGCATTTTAGGACATCGCTTTTCAGTGGCTGGAATGACCAGCCTGGGGCTCTCTGTTGTTGCTGGTCATTAAATTTTTGGAGCCAAATTTAAACTTTCCAATTTGTCTGGACACTTTATTTATATCCTACTTTAAAAGTATTATATGGCTTTTGTTTTCAATTAATATTACATTTCTGCTATTTTTAAAAAATCTAAATAATGTACCTTTCATGAGAATTGAAATTTAAATTATTGACATATTTAGGATAAAGTGCTAAATTAGGACAAAGTGCAAAGTTTAATTTGGGAATTCTTATTTACTAAGGCTATATTGTGATTTTTATGTTTAAATCAGTTTAAATTTGAATTATTTTTCTTGATTGAAATGGAGAAACATTCTGACTGTTCCTGCTTTGTACTTATTTACATCTTTATTCTCCCTATTTAAACTCAAAGCATTAAAATAAGATTTGCAGGTTTAAAAATTATATAAGGACTAAAAACAGGCAAAAATTGAAGGTTGTTCTTAATATTTATATGAGCCTGTCACTCTATTCACTGTTCTTGAAAGATGCTTTTTGATGTAGATTAAAGAGATTACAACATTTTTACAGCAAGACAGGGAATAAGGGAAAGTTTTCTAAAATGAGATAAACCATGTCCATCTAGCTCAGTAATTGATTGACTGACAATGGTTCTCCAGAGTTTTCTTTCTGTGTCTGGAAATACAAGGAATTAAATCTGCATGTAAAATTATGAGTTCTCCCACTAAAACAGCCTCCTTTCCTCTTGAGCCATGTTTTAAAACTGCTTCTAGCTGGACTAAATAGCCATGAAGAAAAAAAATCAGGCTATAGATCCACTATATATCCAATAGTTGTTTAACCTAGTGATGAGAATAGAATTTTTTTTTCCTCACTGTTCTCATACTAAATATTGTTAACATAGTCTTTTCAAATGGAATAAATTGAGGTTTTATGCTGAACTACACCAAATCCTGATTCTGGGAAAGGCAAAAAAAAAATGTATTTATTTTTTCATAAGAATAGAAGAAGGGCCCAGTACAGTCAGTTTAAATGTCCATCTTGTGCAACACTCTGTTTTAAGTAATGAACAGACAGATCTTCTGGAAGACTTAAAAATGGAACGTAGTCGTCTTCTTGGTATGTCCTCCAAAATTGGTATTCACTGATTAGTTTTCTTGAGACATGATAATTGATCAATCCATTTCTTTGCTTACTTAAAACCTAGGTTTTAGGTTAAAATGCTTAAATTTAGGATACTGCCATACATGTGGTCATTCCTTTGTCAATGCACTATAGTCTGCTAGTAATTTACAATTCACTATAACAAGACATATCTGGCCTTAGGAGGAAGAGGTTGAGAGACAAGTTATAATCATCTGAGTTTTCAGTAGTCAGGAAGAGAAATATGTATCCTATCAAATATAATGCCTAAAATCCTAACTCCATGAAAATATGATTTTAATAGATATGTATGAAGGATAAAGCTTTCCCATTACTTATTATTTTCTGTAAATGCCTAAGCCACATGTTCTGCTTAGCATGATGTGCTTTGGTGTAGATACTTTATGTAGTCAGTGTGAAAGTCTTGTGAAAACAAGGCACTGGGTCAGGAATTATTAACAGGTAGGTGGTATCAAAGGGACAAAACAAATCTGGAAGACTGGAATATTGTGAAGGTAACTTAATGGAGGATCTTAGGAGTAACAACACCAAATAAAATTATTTTAAAATATAGAGCAGCAGCAGCAGCAGCAGCAGCAGCAGCAGCAGCAATAATAATAATAATAATAATAATAATAATAATAATAATAATAATAATAATATAAATTATATGCTGCCCAACTCCCATTGACTAACCAAAGGAGGCAGTCAGGCGGACAGGTAGGTATCTAGAGCGTCAGTTACATTAAGGTGCACAGTGAGGTGGTGTCAGAAGCCTCGCAATCAATCAATTAATTAACCTGCTTGCTTGCTACGTTTCTGCCATTATGGAAAAGGAGAGGGAGAGACTGTTGGAAACAGGTGGACTGTTATCAGGGTCTCACAGACAACCAAGGTCATACCAGCCTGAGAATCTTCAGGAGCTGAGATCATCAACAACTGGACCCTGGGCTAACGGGGAGGAAAGGAAGGAAAGAAAAGAGGCTTGGCGCGCGTGGGCTTTTAGTCTTGGCAATGCCTTAGAAGTGTTATCTACTTCTCAATAAAGACCTTTCCTTTGAACTTTATTTTGGTTCATTGAAGTTGGTACTTAGATTGGGAATTGAGCTGGGCAGATTCTTACAGGTGGTCTTAGAAAATTAAGATTTTCTTTGAGAATTGGCAGATTCTATTTAGATTTCATACTAGTGAATGACTAAAACAGTCTCAAGGGGAATACATTCAGATTTTCTTCAGGCATTATTCCTGAAAGCCATTTTTGCTTGCAAGTAGGTTTTGGTTTTGCAAGAACCTTTGCCTAGTTAAATTTCCAACTTAAGTTAACCATTTCATTTTGAACATTCCGATTAGATTAAATCCTCGCTTGTCCACAGCTTTTCTAAACTTGATTTTACTGTGGCATTAATTGTTTAAGTGGTTCAAATAAAGTTTATGTCGGTCATCTGTAAGTTCAATTATCATGCACTTTTGCAGGATGTTAAGACATTGATTAATTTTGTGTCCTTGTAGAATGTACTTTGAATATGTACTCTGTCAACACAATAAGTAACTGTAAATAAAGTAATTAGATTCCATGTTTTGTTGAAGTTCCACCCGAAGCACAATTTGATTTTAAGAAAAGAACATATTTCAAAAATAATTAAGTTTGTTTTATTTTTCTTCTATTTTTTCTTTTTGTAGTACATAAATCTTGACATATGAATATAGTAAATGAATGTTCATGTTGTTCTTAATTTATTTCTTTTATTTTGTTGTAGTTGGACTGATCCAGCAATTTTTGGTCCTTCAGATTTATGTACCATTGGGACAAGATTTCTCAGCTGAGTTACTGTAAGATAATATTGAACTTACTATCATGTTTGATGCACTGTAGATACTAGATCAAATGAATTAGTACCGGCTGCTGTTAACTACAAGTAACAACTTTTAGGTTAAAGAATAACATGTAATCAAGTTGACATAGAATAATTAAGCTTATTTGGTTGTTGTTTGTGGACCGTTTATATTTCTTTGAAAATTAGAAGATTTAAGCATTTTTGTCATAATGTAAATATATGAATAAACTTATTATTATAAGTAGTAGTCAGGTGACCAGTTCCTAACTTTAGGAACAGACTTTAAATAATTACTTTTGACACTTTTAAAGAGAGAGATAAATTTATTTTACTTTGACCTTGATTTATTTATTCTTGTGTTTAACAGATCATTTGCTTTGTTTTGTTAACAGTGAAAGTGCCTGGAAAATCCAGTGCCAATAGATTGTTTATGTCAGCCTCACTAGGTAGACCAGACCAGGAAATCAACTCCACAGAGGGCTAAAACTCATTTTATTGTGATTGGCTCTAATAATAGAATCTTGCAAGTCTGATTGTGCTGTATCTCCTCCTCCTCCTAATAGTTCAGGGAATTGGGGAGGTGTCTGCCTGAGCCACCTCCCAATGTTATCTTACTGTAGACTTAAAAAATACTTCAGCCTCTTTTGCCTAGGCAATGGAGCATCCATATCTCTGTTAAGGTCATCTTCTTTACTCTCTACAGTTTGGATGTGATCATCCTAGGGACCAAGGACACAAGTAAAATCATGTTTCAGTGTTCTAATGTTTTTTTAATTACAATGGAAACCTTGTTTTTAGATTGTGAGTTTTGAGTTTTATTAATTTTATTAGCCTTGAACTCTTTCAAGAAAAGGCAGTGAAATACATTTTAAATATTTTCAACTGCTTCTATAGAAACTCAGAAGCTGTACAGTGATATTTAATATGTTTATATTTCTCCCTCTTCTCTCCTCTTATGTCTGTTCAGAATACTGCATATAAAACATAAAAATAACCATATATTTCTACCATCAAATAAACTCATACAGAAAGGATTTTGTAATCATTGAAATAATGTAGTTATAAAGTGGTGTTATAAAAGAAAAAGTCTAATGCATTATTGATAAAATGCTAAAGGGTTCATTTGGGTGCTTTTAATCTTGTGCACCTAGACTCAAGCAGGTGTTCTGCATTCTTAATTCTCATTTATTTCTATATAAGTTAGACTGTGATCTTGTCCCTGCACATCATTTCTACAAAGGAAATAGTTGAAAAGAATTCAGATGTTGTTGTTCCTAGCATTTGTCCTGCTTGCTTGGAGGGTCTTCTTGTTTTGCACTGTGCTTGCTGCAGTTGACATAGAAAAGCGATAAATGCATGAAGCAAAATGAAGAGTTTTGTTTTTCAGCAAGCTTGTCACAGAGCCTGATGGTGATTAAGGCTGAGAAAGACTGACTGGCCTAAGGCACCCAGCTGGTTTCCATGCCTAAAACAGGACTAGAACCTGGGGTCTCCCTGCTCTAGTCCAGCATCTTAACTATTACCCCATACCAAGTCTCATCGTTAAAATAATTTAAATGTCCAGTATAAAAAAAGGAAGTCTCTTCAGTTGTGAGCTTGACTCAGTGACTTCATGAACATCTCCAAGGACTCCTGTGTACTGCAACTTAATTGTTTTTCTGTTTTGTGGTTGAAGTGCACTGGAGGTCCACCTACTTTCATGTTCCAAGGCTTATATATTAGAAACTCTTATTTGCAAACTAAGTAGAACAACCCACTTCAAAATAGTATGATAGTATTTATAGTATGACATTTAAATACTGTTTTCTGTCTGAAGGTAATGGTATTATAGTAAATAAAAAGTTTGTAAATCACTAACTTAAGTATTGTATCATACATTGGAATGGAATACATACTACATAGGGTGTGTGTGTGTGTGTGTGTGTGTGTGTATGAATGATATGTTTTTAACTCTATGATGCTGATTTTCTTACTTCAGAAAACTCTGCTATATAAACTCCCTTCCAAACTCAGAACAGTCTTAAATTCAAGGTATCTGCTTTGCATTGAGTCTATAAAGTTTTTCAGAACCAAGGTTACTTTGATTGTTATCTGAGGATTGACTGCAGTAGATTTCTAGCTAGCCATTTTCTGTTAGACTCTGTGTACTATAAAAAAACCAGATGTTGATCCCATCTGTTGTATCCAGTAAGGAAATACATTGGTAATGATGCCCTAGAAGCAATATAGACATTTTTATAAAGTTCAGCGTTGATTTCTTAATGAATTACTTGGCTAAAAGGCATGTTACTGTATCTGAAGAATTTTGTAGTATTCCTGTAAACAAATAGCATACGCCTTTAGGAGGAGTTAAAGCACTTCATATTCTATAAAAATCAAGGATCTCCCATTTCAGTTCCACAGCAATACACACTAGAAAATAATGCATTTGCCAGCCTTTTGTTAGCAAACACTATCTGCAGAAAAAGATATCTTAATATTAAATTAAAATTCTAATAATAGAATTTGTGAAAACAGTACTTAACATCAATTTCCCCACCCACATAATCTTCAAGAGATATCTTCATCATTGTAATAGAGTTTATATAATTCCTTTTTATATTTAAGTACAGACAGATTGATATTTGTGATTTTTCTCTTGATGTGTCATTTACATTGTAATGTAGTAACAAATGGCAGCTGTGATTATGTTTCTCAGAATTTTTGATGAAGCTTATAGTACTAATAATAATTTATTGATTAGCCTTATGGAATAGCCTATCAGAATACAAAATACAGAACAACAATAAGACCATGTCTAACAAAATAGAGTAAAAGGCAGAACTAAAAGGAAATACAAATCATATTTCTATATCACCCCTACAATTTACCCCAATCAGATTCACATATGCAGTTGTCAGTTGTACTGTTTTGTTCAGATAAAAGGCCATGTTATATGTAATATTTGGGTTCTGACTGCACATGAAATATTGTTTTAATGTATGAATCCCAAATATGCTGTTCATCTAATGTGTGATCCAAGATATTGATCTCTCTTTCTTACACAGTTGGCATTCAAATAATTATTTGAAATTTCCATCACGAAGCGATGTGGTCATATAGCACAATATCATATGACTGCATTGCTTAGCAATGGCAATCCCAGCACTCTCCATTGCCATTGTTAAATGAGGATCATGGGTTGTTAGGCAAGTCCCAGGCGGCTTGCAAGCAGGGCAGCAGGCAGGTAAAGCACAAGCACAGCAGGGCTGGGGGTGGCTGCTGCCAGGTGGGGGAGGGTGTGAGCGACTTACTGGAATGACTTGCGACCTTCCCTGCTGGCTTCCCCATTTACTTTGCTTGTGGGAAGCCAACAGGGAAGGTTGCAAATAATGATCACGTGACTGCGGGATGCTGCAACTGTCGTAAGTGCGAGCCAATTGCCACATGCCCAGATCATGGTCACATGACTGTGGGGGTGCTTGGACAGCTGGAACTTCAAGGACCGGTTGTAAGTGTCCTTTTTCAGTGCTGTCGTAACTTTGAACAGTCACTGAACAAATGGTCAGTAAGCGAGGACTACCTGCATTGAAATTTTGGAGAAACTTCATGAGAAATTTTGCTTTACTGAAGGTGCCTTCATTTCTGCCTTGTTTATTTGATTTATGTTCAGAAGTGCAAGGCAGCATACATAAAACTCCATCCTCCAGTTTCCCCACAACAGCAACCCTGTGAGATGAACTGGGATGAGATAGAGTGACAGGTCCAAAGTCAGTAAGTGAGCTTCTGTGGCTGAGGATGGACTCCCATTTGTATAATGGACATGTTAATATTTGAAAAACATAATAAGACATCATATGTTTTGCTCTCCTTATTGCACAGCTTACATTTATTTATTTGTCATCTCCTCTTCTCTTATAGATTAGCTGTTAAACAAATATGCATAAAGGAAATTAAAACAATATCTGTAAAGAAAATGATAAAAAGAACGTTTTGGATGTTGCATGTACACCTGAAACTTAGTTGGCCTTTCCATTTCCAAACAATTAGTTTTGTTCTCTTTGTGGGGAGGGGGGAAGAAATAGGTTCTTATTCAGCCAGGCACAAGAAGATTGTTATAGCCAAATGAGAACTACCCCACACAGCAATTGAGATTATGCTCATAACTACACAAATCTGTGATCCAATAACCTGAACAAGAGTAAAGTTTAGTTTATTTGTGGTAGATACTGGTTGTTGCTTAAATATTTGATATATTTTGCATAATTGAAGAAATAACTTTCTAAAAATCTGTAAAACTACCTAATAGTTGCCCAGTTGGACAAGTCGAAGAAAGCTATAGCTACCATAGCAGATATAATTATACCAAAGCCCTCCTTGTTTCAGCTGCCACCTGCAGTGACAGCTGAAGCTCAAGAAGCATGTTGAGATTGTGAACTTGCCTTTGGAGGGGTAGGGGGAATGCAGGCTGAACCTCTGTCCCCAAAGTCTAGTTTCCTGGTTATCAACAGCAGCTTCACCTTGACTGATGTAATTTCAGCTTATTCTTTCTCCTCCAGCCCATTGTTGAATGTAGCCAATTGATTTTTTGGAACTGGATGATAAAAAGCAACAGAGTTGGGTATGCTAAGCATACTGATGATACCCAGATTATCTCTACAGCAGTTTCATATAGATGTAGATGGAGCCCTGTAGGACACCATGAGTCAACGGCTTAATATCATCAAAGAGTAGTTCTGTAGCAAAATCAACAGGAAAGGCTGAAGTTGTGGTTGATGATACTGAAATCCACTGAGAGGTTCAGGAGAATTAAATAAAACCACACTGCTCCATCTAGTATCTCTTATAGGTCACTTATCAAAGCACACAGCGCAGTTTCAGTACCATAGTCTGGACAGAAGCCAAATTAAAGGTCCAGAAAATCAATATAATCCAAATGTGTCTGGATCTGAAGAGCAGTACGTGCCCATAAAATTAAAATTTGGAACCGATGTGTAGTTTTACAGGTCTCTTGTA